CATTTTATTTCTTATATTTAATTATTGCGTTTGTCATTCCTTGGAGACCGAATTCATCTCGGAATCCACAACACTATCCTTATTAAAGGAAGAGAGAAAATTACCATGTTGATACATACACATTTATTCAGAGTACTTTCGCCATTATCACAATGTTATCATCAAGGTGTTCATTCGATGGCTGAGTTTTCATTTGAATGATGCCTCAAACATATCACAACATTTAAAATAGCATGCCTGTTCACATTCACAATTTAAGAAAATTCTTAATGAAAATGCATCTATACTTTTTCATGAAAACTATAAACATACACTAAAAATTCTTGAAGCAATCTATATTAAAAAATTGAAACTAACTCTCAATAAAAATTAATTATGAATACTGGAACAAATGTTTTAAAATGTTTACAGTAGAGAGTTTTAAAATACTTAGGTTTCAACTAATAGATGTTTTAAACATATGGACATTCCAAACCTAGTTACCTCCTCTGATTGTATATCGTGAAATTTAAATCGTAAAGTACATAACCTTAGCGTTTTTTCACATCACAGTTAAAAAAAAAAAATTAGATGATCACAACAATTTTGTCTTACAAAAAAATACTCTGTTGATGACACGTACACACACACACACACACACACACACACATACATATATGTATTATTTGTACTTCGGCAGCAAATATTCTTTAAGATAAATATTATTTAAGACGTTTCTGTCGATTAATTATATTGATCGATTTTTTCAAATTACGAATAATCTTTTTTAGATAATTATTCGTAATTTGAAAAAGTCGATCAATAAAATCACTAATATATATATAGCATACACACACACACATATATATATATATATATATATATATATATATATAATGATAAAAAATATAGCTTTAAGTTATGCTATATTTATGAGTTAAAGTGCTCGATATCAGGGATAGAGCGTATGGCAATATAAATATATATATATAATATACATATATATATATATATATATATATATATATATATATATGTGTGTGTGTTTTTTGCCAACCAGAGCAAGATGATTACAAAGCTCGTCATAGAGACCAAGTAGCTATGGCTACGCTTTCGATTCCATCAGGTTACCCTCCAAATGTTGTTTGTGGTTATGTAATAATAATAATAATAATAATAATAATAATCGTACTTCTTTCAGAGAGTTTTACGTGGATTGTTCGATTTCACAGTAGTTTCTATTAGTGATGGTCTTTTTATATGCGATATACTTTCAGGATATGTGCGATCGTCACTCTGACCATCTTCCTTTATTTTATTGTCCTCTCACTCTTTTACTCTACACTTTGACTTGTTCTGTCATCCATTCACAGAAACTCGTCAGTAAATTATTCGCCGTTTCCCGTTGAATTATTTTATCTTCTGTATATCCTGTGATTGTTGCATAAATTTCTTTACATCATTATATGTTCCAAACAATTCAGCTGCCTCTTGTAAGTATAAATATATTTCTTCTTTGTTCTTGCTCACATATCTAGTCCATAGGATTCTCAGCATCTTTCTGTAAAACCTCATTGTTGTTACCTCAAGTCTCTTCTTTATCTGTGAGAATATTTTTCAATATTCAATGCCATACATTAAAAGAACACTTAGCAGTTCTACAATCTTTTCTTTGTTTTTAAGGATCTCCTAATACTTTGGATCTTTCTCTATTCCAACGAATTTCTGTGTTACATCTCACTACCAAATTTCTTCACCTGCTTCATTGTGATGTCCCCAATACATAGCACACAATTTTTATTGTCTCTTATGCTGATAGCCATGCATTCTGTCTTCATTCATTTAATCTTTTCTTCTTGTTTTTCTCTATTATTTTCTCTTATAGACTTTATCTTCAGTTTTCTTTTTGAGTGGGCCATCAATACAGCGTCATTTGTATATCTTATGTCGTTAAGTTTATGCCTGCAAATAATAAATTCTGGTAGGTCTTCTGGCCCTCTTTACATCGTCTAATGGTACAGGTTAAATAAATCCCGTGTGCCAAAGCCTCCTTGTCCTATTGCTCTTTCTATTTTTACATATTCACTAAACTCAAGCAAGCTGCTTCTTCTTAGTAGAAGTTACGGATACTTGAACATATTTCCTGTGTAAATCAACGTTTTCTAATATTTCAAGCAGTTTTTCGTGTCGTACCCTATCAAATTCTTTGTGTAATCTATGAAACAGAGGTATAGTTCTTTCAGAGTTTGTATTGCTTGCTCTGATAGCATTCTGATAATAAAAATCGCGTTTCGTCTTCCTGTGTCTTGAACAAAACCACAGTGTTTTTACTCTCTTTCCGGTCTACTTCTGCTACGAGCTCGATTCATTAGAATTCTAATAAGTTTAGGTATGTGGCTCATCAGCCTGATTGTCTAATGGAATTCGCAGGTGCACCTGATTTCTTTAGCATCTCTATGAAGATTGATGTACTGTGGTCTAGATATTTCGTTGCTGTTGTCTATTTCATTTATTATTTAGGTAACCTTATCAATCCGGAAATTATCTAAGGCTGTCGGCATCTCTATTACAATCTCATCTGGTCTTGTTGCTTTGTTTCTCTTCATCTTAGCCAGAGCTGACCTAACTTCAAATTTTAATACTAGGGCCCTTCTATGTTTTTAAGGACTATTTTCTTCTCTTCTGTCATGGAAGAGCTCTCCAATATAGACGTTCCTCTTCGTCGTATCTTTTTTTTTCATTATGATTGTTTCCTTTACAGATTTTATGCATCGAAATTTAAGTACTGTTATAATTTTTATCATATTATCCATAACTTCTATGACTATGTCTGATAGTTTTTTTGGTTCTTTATCTCAACACATTTCTCGTTGAGCCATTCATATTTTGCTTGCATTAATTTATTTCTAATGTTTTTATTTAACGTCTTTCGTGGCGTTATCTACTCTTTTTCATTCTATAGAGAATTCCACTGGTCGTCCATTTATTTTTTCTTTCATGTTTCTCTTTCTGCAGATAACTTATTCTGCTTCTGTTAAGGCGCTACACTTTGATTTTTCTAAAATCTTCCAAATCTTTTATATTTTTTTTTATCGATGACAGCATAGGTTTGTCTGCAAGTTGAGACGCTCTGAAGGTTGTCGAATAGTTCATACGTTGTTATGGGTTTCTTCAATTTTGTAGTTTTACCCTAAAATATTCCATGTCGCTGGGAGGTTATCGTTTTGCTTATATTCTAAAGTGTACTACTTAATTTCTAAATCGTTTGTTGTTGATACTTTTTCGTAAACTAAAGTTAATCCAATACAAGACTCAAGTGCCACTCATAGTAGAGGGTTACTGAATGAAATGAATGAACTTGTAGAGGAGGTAGAAGAAAGTGAAGATGAGGAGGGCAGATAGCGATTGATCCTTGAAGAGGTTAAGATTATAGTGTTCGGGGAAGCCTCCACCTGGGAGTTTCACAAAGTATCAGTTCTTGGAAAAATGCTCTCTAGGTGGTACTTCTTTACACTTGGAAAACGAAGGAAATATGGATGATTCATTTCCATGGATGTAGTATGCTGTAAAGGTCTGAACTGGTGCAACTAAGATATGGACCTTATTTAAACATTTACCATTGATAGAGTAGCAATAAGTTTGCAATGTGTGAAAGATAAGTTTGTATGTGTGAAAGAAGTTGTCGAGTGGTAAATAAGACTTTCGTTACAACTTCATGTAAATGATTTTGAACTCTATCAACGATGGAAAATAAGACATGACAAAAAGACTCCATCTTTCAAAAGAGAAACTATGCCAGTATTAGTAGATAGTAAAAATAGTTTTCTATTACAATATAATCAGCTAATCTGTCTACATTTCTGAAATGAAGTATTTTATTTATTTGCATTATTTACATTGTTCGGGCTGTTGTCCTCATATTCGCTGTCATATTCACGACGTTTCAGACGCTATACACTCCAGCTTCTTTAGGTGATTAGAATCTCGAACTGAACCCTTTATTTCGTCCACCAGAGTAGATTGTTATAATTCCACGTGCCATGCCTCTTCAGGATGTCTCTGTATCAGTTGTCTCCATTTAACTCAACTCTCTAAATTTTTGTTCACCTCAGCTTTAACCAGGTATTAAACACTTAAGTTACCGGATTCAACCAACGCTTTAATCCAAAGGGCCATCGGGAATATGGTAACGAAGATGAGGACAACAGTCTGAACAAGGTAAAGAGTGCATATAATCAGCTAAAGTATCATGTTCATACATTCATCAAGATCAGTGTCTTTAGCCAGTGGAGCATTTTATGTTTGCAAATAAATCCCATGTTTATCTATAAAAATCCGATGCATAAATGCCGGCATATATAAACCCTTTGAGAGAGACCTAAGTGTGAGCGAGTGTTTGTGTTCGTGTACGGTAGAGTAAAAGCTAATTAGCGAGTCATTTAAAAGAACGACATCAAAGGCTGATCGATTATTGCTATGTAGGATCAATGGACTTGCTCAATCTTTTATCTCCTTTACTTTCTTTCTTTCTTCTTTTTTGTCTCTCTTTTCGCGCGTTTAATTCTATTTCATGTGAAGTTGAATTCCAAGCACTTGGAATCTGCCGTTAATCATTTGCCAACAATGACAGACGGACGGATGCTGTTCGTTGGCAGAAGCGTGTAGGAAATCGAGAGAGATGTCTCTATTTCAGATCCCAGTTCCAAATCGAAAAGAAATCATCGAGCAAAGATCAAAAAAGGAAATGAGAAACAAAATTAAATGAGTAAAAAGAAAAAAAAAATAAACAGGTGAAAATGGAAGAATGAAAATAAAATGGACAAAAAAAAAATTATTGATTCTGGGGGAAAAAACATATGTTTGCTGCTTTTATGTCGGTTGGTCAACAAATTAACCTCGAGTGAAACGGATAGAGAAATATATATATAGCAATGGAAAACGAAAAGAGATAAAAAAAATGAACTTCATTAGAAAGCAGTAAAGATCGAATAAGGACTCATTCATGAGATATATGAATTGACTGCGATAGATAGATAGATAGATAGATAGACAGACAGACAGACAGAAAGAAACGGACTGCGATAGATAGATAGATAGATAGATAGATAGATAGATAGATAGAATAGACTGAGATAAATAGATATGAACAGACTGCGATAGATAAATAGATATAAAAACAGCCGATGTCAGATTCTATTATGCAAGTCAATATTTTCAAAATAAATTTGAAATTAACCAAACGAAATTTCCAGTATATACTTATAATAAATATATCACATGAGTTTCAGCTTATAATGTTTACACATTGAAAATAATAGTAATAAAAAAACTTTATAGAGTTAATTATTTTCAAACAACCTTTAACAAATCATATGCCAAAAGTGCTGTCCCCCTATTCAAGGGTTAAATCAATAAACTAAAATACACTAATGAACATATTGGCTCCCAAGCCTCCTTTTCCTCAATGTCCCAACACTATATCTTAATTTATTTTGGTACAAGCGACTCCCTATTTTAACATTGTTTCATGTATGAGATAAAAGATATCGGTCGTATTTATTAACCCACGACTCACTGGTGAGTCCGTTTTACAACCCAGAGTCCCAAACTACCCAGCGGTGGGTCGTTTGAAAATACCCAATATACAAGTTTTACAGTGAGATTAACTTTCATTTTGTATATTAAAAAATATTTAATTTCTTTTTGAAAAAAATGTGGTTCTGTTGTACCATGATCTCATAAGCAGTCAATCATAGCATACCATTCCCAATAATTCTCATAGAAAAGAAATTGGACAACGACCCACCGGAGGGTCATGTAGGCCTTGGAGACTTACCACCACGACCCTCCGGTGGGTCGGGTGGGAGTTAACGTGTTGAAAAAATGCCTATTGATAAAGCAACCGTTAAAATGAATTCATTTGTAAGGGAGTTATATAAAAATTATCAAAATGCCTTATTCACATTCGGGCTAATGTCATTATATTTGTGCCTACTGTCTATTTTCAGTTGATTGTTGATCAGGTTAACCTTCAGGAAATTTTGAATTGACCCCTACCATGGCGTATTATTCTCAGCCCACTGTCTATGTCAAGAGATTTTCATTTTATTCTAATTTAGTACTGCTCAGTTAGTGATCATCATATTTTCACTGTCTAAGGCCCCGGGCTCACAATTACTATCATTTCTGTTTGGGATGGGGAGTAATTATTTACACTGTATTCAGGCTATTGTTCTCATCATTGGAAACAAAAATGAGGACACTATTTCGAATACAAATAATCATCACTACGTTACCGAATGGTTTTAATGCACTAGGCTCAGTTTGGAATTCCCTGAAGGTTACTGGAATTGATAGACGTTTGAGGAAAGATGGAGAGAACAAGAGTAAAAAATACATTGTGTGATAACAAAAGAAGAGGATATTACTTCGAATTAAAATAATGTAAATAATTATAACTCCTCGTTTCAAAAATTGATTTAGAGTCAGATCTTTGGGGTCAACTCATGATTATTTATTTTCGAAGAGTGCCTGCTGTGCATCCAAATCGCCCATTTATCTTCAGTGAGTTCTCATTCGTAAGAAAAAAAACTTTTGAGAAGCTAGTGAAATTGATTACTAAATCTAGATTAAATTTGGCTAGCAAATGATCACACATTGACTGGGAAACAAGATGACAAAATAAGAAGAAAAACCCGTACTTTTTCTTTTCTTGTTTGATTACACATCGCTCTTTTCGTCTGAAGATCGCCTTAGTGTGACAATTTAGAGCCTTTTTCGGGGTTTGTTATTGTTACAACTCTGATTGAATTTGATTTGTAGAGGTATTGAGCAGTATAGAGATATTCAGCTAAAAATAAAAAATTAAAAAAAATAATCCTAAATGAATAGTCGAAAGCATATATATATATATATATATATATATATATATATATATATATATATATATATATATATATATGTGTGTGTGTGTGTTTCATTAAAGACAACAGGTATTGCGATTAAGTTTTTATTTAATTTTTCTTATGTTCGAATAAGTTTTTTCTGGACACAGAATATATAGAAACTGTTCAAATGTTCTGTAATTCCGAGTGCTTTCGGCTATACTTTTAGCCACCGTCAAGGGTGATTTTATTTTTGCATTTTAACTGGATTTATAGGTTGTATGTATCTGGAATTATAAGGTTGTTTTATTTTCCTAACACAGCCCATTGTGGCCGTGTTCGTAGTTAATATTATTGAGTGTTGGCTTTTTCTTTTTTATTATTTAGGCTTCCATTATTTTTAGTCTTTTTCACATATGCATGAGGTTATTATGTTTGTATTTTCTACTAGTACCTTTCGGATTGAGTCTGGTATGTTCAGGGTTCTTATTTTGACTGATATAAACACTATTTAAATACATTAATAAAGAAAAAATAGATTATAAAATCGAACTACATAATATACAATTTCGTATTTATATCTATCCTCGCCAGGAAGACATGGTTACTCCATTGCATCCACAGTCGAGCTATTTAAGCATATGGGACATTTGTATATAACAATAAATCACTTTCAGCCATAAATGCAACGTACTATGATAGATATTCCCATGTTATATCTTCAAAATTTTGTAGATTCCACATAGCTGCTGTTATACAGGCGAAGTTCAGCGATAAAGATTGATAAATTCTTAAGTATACGTTTACAGCATTTCAATTTATATATATATATATATGGCAAACTTCAGAAGACTATGTAGTGTTTTTCATCTTTTTCACCCCAACATTCAGTAATGTTGCTATAAAAAAATATTTCTTTCAGAAAATCTAAGAAACTCTAAAGAATTGGGTTGTGAACTTTTGCAGAACGGTAATTTCCTGGCTATGTTACTTGTGTACCAAAAATCAATACTGTTGTCATAATTTCTGAGTTATTTCATCTATAAACTTATTAAGAAAGATGCTGTCTGAAAAATAAATTAAAAAATTATTCACTTGCTTATTACTATGTCCGCGTGTTGTTTTTAAAAGCAGCATGAACAACATCTTGAGCAGCAGACGACCACAGATAGCAATCCTATAATAGAACATTGCATCAGCTAATGTGATACAAAGAAAATTCTCAACGTAAATGCGCCATGTATTTTCCGTCAATTATATCCAGGACACTCATATAGACACACACATACACGCCCACAGACACGGGCGCACACACACGCACGCATCTATAAATTATTCTTTCTTCTTTGCTTTTCACAGGAGCATTTTGTTCAACAGAACTGTATTTTAGTATTATGCTACTTTGAACGAGACTTGATTACAGAAAATACTTTCGTTTAAAAATAACTCTTCTTTTCATAATATGATGTGTTTGCTCTCAGCATTTTGTCTTGCACCATGTTCACATATTTTCTACTTTCAACTTATATTTCAATACGTCTCTTCCATTCAACCGAGTCTGCATCATTTCATCAACAATTGTTTTATTGATAAATGTCATATAATTATTTTGACATTTTCTCGTTGTACGACTTTTGTAAACCATATTGTTACAGAAATTTATCTAAGTTCTTCAAGATAAATGACGACCTTCAGTGGGTTTTTTCTTCGTCTCTTTTTACGAAATTAAAATAAGGCGGTAAAAACAACCGGTTAAAATCTTTTATATTTTTTTGATATTGACCATTTTCTTGCAACCACCACTTATCCGTTTTAGATATATTTATAGCAACTGTCATTCCCACAAATCCGTTTTGGTAGCAATGGAATGCTTAAATCTCTAGAGATCTCGCTGCTGGAATGCAAAACTCGTATTAATATTGACTTACAATGTCACAGGGCTATAAAGAGATGGAGTTGAATTTCTCCAAGATGTTGATATCATGGCTTCCCTGAAAATTAGCATTTTAAACTGGAGCTTTTATAGGTACACTACAGTTCAGAAGTTCGGGGTAAATCCTGGCAAATTTTTAAACTGGCCCCAAAAGCAATTGTTTGGTACTTTAAATAAGAGAAAATTATTATACATAGTGTAAAAAAAATGAGACATGACTTTTTCATTATCTGACAAAAAGAAAAATAGCATTTCATGATTAAATTTTGCTCTCGTCAAAATACCCTCTTTTACTGAAGCACAAATCTTTGGCATTAGTTGCAAAAGTTTCTCAAAGTTTAAGTTTTTATAACTGATTCCATTCTTTTTTCAATGCTCATTTTCCTTTTTTTTTTTCAATCTTCTGTCAAAGTTCAACCCGTGCTAATTCTGGAGGATGCTTCAAACTTTTGAACTGTAACGTATGTACTGTAAACGAATAACTAAACCAATATTAATGATGAAAAACATGTATTTTACACAACGACTACAATACTTACGTCCCAATATAATCACATCTTTTGTCAATGCACCTAACCTAACAGTACTTGCATGCATCGAACATTATACCATGATAAATTCAGTTAAAAACCTTTGCAAACTACTGACATATACACAAATACAAACACACATAGTTCATGTGTATGTGTTTTGGGCAGCAGTTCATCTTTAATACACGTTTTGTTGAATTTGAGCTCTAATCAGAGCTCAATATTCATTTATCCTTATGGAATCGCACCAACCGATGTGATACACAGCTCTCATTGCAAAAAAAAAAAAGGTAAAAAGTGATGGAAGCAATTATTATGAAAAAAAAAATCAAGAAACCAACAATTAATGACAATGTTCTGGCCGTATTTGGAAACGAAGAATATATCTACTTTCAGCAACTTTTATATCATCCACGTCTGCATTTACATAACATTTATTAAGTATTATAACAAAAAATAACACTTGAAAATGGCTAAAAATTTAGCCGAAAGCGCTCTGAAGAAAGAAACTTTTGGATAATTTTGGCATTCATTAAGTTCAGAAAAATAGACTTTTGTTTGCATAGAAGAAAAACATAATAAAAGTAAACTAAATAAAAGTACCTTTTTCAAAAGTCAACGAAATAATGAAACTTTCCCGCCCATATATGAAAGCCCTGAAAGAAATATCAAATAAGAAAAAACATTCATATATATCCCCTTCCGACAAAATGCGGTGCAATTATGATTATGGACGAACACATTTATCAACAAGAAATGAGACTCCTCGATGACAATGATATTTATAAAAAAAAAAAAAAAAAAAAAATCAACGAATAGAAAAGGTCATAAATGAAACATAAAAATTGCCGTTTAAAACTCATCGAACATCACCCGAAAACAACCATTACGCTATGGATTACAAAAAAGACATAAAACAGATATCCTAATGACAGACATTATATCAGTAATAAAATAGCCAGCAAACTAAGCAAAATCTTAACCCCACTTCTTGATACAATTAGCGCCAAGTATATAAAATAAAAACTCCGGGGATCTTTTAAACAAATTAAAAAAAAAACATTGACACAAAAACAAATATATAACCAGTTTAAACATAAAATTCTGAATTTACTAAAAATACACTTAACAAAAACAAAAAGACTATTGCCTATTCCTACACATAAAAATCATAAAAATAATTCCATTTAATCACTAATCAATATTTTTTTCAGTTTCAATAGCAATTTTTAGACAAAACTTGGTTTACCGATGGTCCCTTCTCTTAGTGACGTTTTGGCTTTTTTAATTTCTAGAAAGTGGTCCTAACAAAAATATTTTACTACTAATTTCTTCTTATGTTAGATACATAGATGATTCTTTATTAATATATGAACAAAACTTCTTGTCAGCAAAATTAATAAAGTCGAACCCACAATAGATTTTACATTTGAATCTGAATGTAACAACACTAGATATCATGCTACATAGAACTAATAACAACCTTCAGCAAATCTACCAACAAGAATAACCTGTTCATGTTTTATTCTCACTACTCTAACAGGATAAAATCTGGAATAATTTTTGAATTCTATTTAAGAGCACTGAGAATCTGTAGCACCCTATACTTACCTGAAGAAGAAATATACATAGAAAACACTTTCAAAAAACTCCAGTATCCTCATTATTTCATCCAAAATGCTAAGAAATACGCATACAAAATTATTAACAGCAATACTCGGGATAAAAAAGACGCATAATACTACCTACTAACATCATAACATCCACTATCCAAAACAATTTATCCAATCTTAATATCAAAATAATTAGACCACATCCAAATCTATCATATATGTAATCAGAACCCCAAATAACCATAACAGTAATAATTCGGAAGCAGGTATATATATATATATATATATATATATATATATATATATATATATATATATATATAAAATAAACTGTCACAAATGCTACTCACAAAACATTGGAGAAACTTGCAGAAATGTAAAAAGAACTATCTATAAAGACAAAAACGATCTTATACTCAACGATTTATGAAATGCATTAGACATACATAGAAATAAACTCAACCACAACTTTGATCTAAAGAATGCCATGCTTATTAAAAGAGAAAGTAACTTACTTAGGCAGAAAACTATTGAGAGTGCCCTTATGTAATCTTATGAAAATATAAATCGGCGGTCCGGAGTTTTTCAGATATATCCGTTCCTAAAAGAATTACTCCTTTCCCAAATCAACATATATTACTATAAAGAAAATGATTAAATTTATAACCTCCTTTTATTTAGAATATGTAATACATAAATTAATCTCAAGCAAAAATAATATACGCATTATTTAAATAATAAAAAAACTTTACTCACATTTGTTTATTAGACATTCAATTGCGTCACTTAACATCATTCATAATTTATTTTGATTTCTTGACTTTTTAGCAAGATGAATATTTATGACCGTTTCTTAAATTTAAACATTTTGAAAAACTAACATTTTTACTTTCGCTTATAAATATTTGTTGCAAAATAAAATAATTATATTTGCCTTGATAAAAGTCCACCAGAGGACGAAATTCGAAGGCTGAGATCAGTTTCTTCTCTTTATTCATATATATATATATATATATATATATATATATATATATATATATGTGTGTGTGTGTGTGTGTGTGTGTGTGTGTGTGTGTGTGTGTGTGTGTGTAAGATCTGACGTGCCAAAAGTCATGGGATAGCAGTATGCAAAGAAAGTTAATAATAGGTGACGCCACTACTGTACCTTGACGTCATAGAAATGCTCAGATATCATTTGCGCTGTGACATCTGGTGAGTCAGTGTGAACAGCGGTGAGGCGACACATAACAAGGCAGTATGAATTATTGGGGTTCAAAGAGGGCAAGATAGTCGGTGACAGACGGATGGGACATTCAATTTCTGAAATTGTTAGGTCATTTGACAATTCTCGATCTATACCGTTCTCGCATGGATAGAGCTGTGGTCGACCACAAATCCATGTTGATAATAGCAGAGCGACCCTGGTTTAAAGGACATTGACATTCAATTTAAGTTACTAGTTGTATATTTAGCAGGTTAATTCATCCTTTTTTAACTCCCATGAAATATTCGATGTGACCCCAAAGAACTGAAAACATACAGCATAGCCCAGTGAGTTAAAGTTCTAGATTTTCAAGTCGGTGATAAGGTTCAGGTTATGCGCAGACCCCATGCAGGGATATCTCAATTTATCATCAATGCTCCATGCAGGCTTCTGTGAATTCTTCATGGTACAGTTTTCTGTGTCCACGTGGCATAAATTGGATCTGCTGATATTTAGGACTTGATGATATATATATATATATATATATATATATATATATATATATATATATATATATATATATATATATATATATATATATATATATATATTAAACAATCAAATGTCTAGCCACTCTGATGAGCTGTGATACAGCGAAAACAGTCTGTCTGTGGATGACAATATATGCTCCTGAAAATAATTTTCCGTTGAACACTACGGGGAGAAAAGGCGAATTTCTAAACAGTGACTGATATTGCTGCTAATGCAAAACTCTTCTATTGAATCGAGTCCTCTCGGTGATTAGTTTGTTTGTTTGAAAAATCAATACGCTAAAATTCAAATTCTTCTCTGCAGTGCGCCGATATAATAGAGATAGATTCTCAGACTGATGCCAAATCACCCGGGTTTCGATTCCGGCTGGAAGCAATTGGATATCTTGCCACACTAATGAGCTGCGATACAGCGAAACAGTCTGTCTGTAGATGACTATATATATATATATATATATATATATATATATATATATATATATATATATATTTCATTCATCTCAACAAATTAAATAATATTTATGTTGGTCACACAACAAACTCGCTTTCACAACGCTTGACACTACATTTGGATGAAAACATTTTTAGGGATTTAAGACAACATGACTGGCCGCACACACAATTCCGTAAAATCGTTGTTGAAAACACAGTTATACTTAAACATGAGAGCAATAAACAAAAAGTAAAAATTCTTGAAGCTATATACATAAAACACTTGAAACCTAACCTAAACAAAATAAACATTGAAATCTACACAAATATTCTTAAATGTTTATAATTGGTAACAGAAGCCATTGGTTTATACCAACGGCTTCCCATACTTAATACTTCTCGAATTCACTCTCGCGTGGGCATGTGTGACATCATGAGCTGCAGTGCGATTTTCGCTTCCTGCGTCTTATATGTGTTTATCGTTGCTTGGAAATCATCCAAGCAAACAGAAACATACTATCATCACATATTTGTCCGTCTATTGCTTAATATATTGTACTGTAATTGTCATCTTTGATAATGGCTTTTGTAAGCCGAAAGTTTAGATTGGATTAAAAAATATAGATCAATATTGTGATTTTCTTTCTTCGTTTAATGATAATGTTATTAAGCTTATCAGACGTTATGAAAAGAATTTACATAAAATAAATAGTCAACACTTGTCTATATTATTTGATGAAATATATATATATATATTTTGAGGGAAAAAGAAATTAATGCTGCAGACAGGCTACTTTTCATTGTGTCAAAGTGTCATTTTGTCAGTGTTGTCCCATGAAGAGATATACTTAAATATTTGAAGAAATGTGAGGGTGTACTCACTTTCGTGATACACTGATATATATATATATATATATATATATATATATATATATATATATATATATATATATATATATAAATGATAAGGAAAACAAGCAAAAGCAAAAAGCGAAATGAATTTAATTAAAGAACGTAACTAATAATAACAAAAAATAGAATGTTCTTAGCAACTGGAGGAATGTAGAGAACGCTATTTTCATATTGTTTCATATTTTTTTATATATATATATATAGTATATATATATATATATATATATATATATATATATATATATATATATATATATATGAGTTGGGAATTAAGTATGTATCGGGATCCGACAGAATGATAAGATAAAGAACAAAGAGGAAACTTTTATCAATCTAAGATGCTTCACTTTTATTAAATCTTCATCATAGAATGAAATATGGATAAAAAAAAGAGAGAAATTCTATGTATTTTTACTTTTACATTGTTTGATTTTCAATGGTTAATCCCGTTTCGCGCGTATTCGAATCGTTAAACAAACTTTACTATAATTTCTGTTGTTCCGAATTCAATGGACGTGTTGTTTCCCTTTTAACCATTTTAGATTTCTTTTATAAGTTTTCTCGATTCTTCAGGTCGGTAGACGAAACAAATACTGTTTAAAATAAATACTATTTAAAATAAACAGATCGTTTACACAATTACGGGTATCCAATAAAAATAATGTTTGAAGTACTAAAAATATGTCGTATATGGGTACATGTGTTTCATTGCACACACGCGTGTGTCTTAAGCAAGAAATTCTATTATTAGTATTATTAATTCTAAACTGGAAGTATCGTCTAATGGGAATTCATTGAATTATTAAAAGAAATTTAAAGAATAACTGTTGATCCTTACAGATGTCAGTTCAGTTTTTCAGATGGAGAAGTTCATTGCAGTTCCAACTCCAGAAAAATAGAAGCTGACAGATGACCGCATACTGTTCGGTCAATGTTTTCCAAAGACTTGTAAATTCCACATGTAGTAACAATGGAACGGTCATGAATGCCGTCTCTCTGTTAGTCAAAGTTCATTGATTCGAATAAATCCGAGAAAAGCGTATCCTCAATTAGGACCGCAACTGTTACATGGAAAATTACTTACATTTCTCCGTAGACTTCTTCGCTAAACAAGTTTTGAACTCTCGACCTTACTATTCTCGACTCACTCGACTACTAACTGAGCAATACCCTCACACAATCAGATAAAAATCTGGCGAACTTCAAGGAAAAGATAACGAAACTGAAAATCAAAAGCCGGCATTCAGTTGACTAATACTCTACCGGGACAGAGTATCTTTCCGCTGGCATACTACGATATGAATCTGATAATGGCATTTAAGAGTTTAATAATTCCCCTCTTAACATCTGACCCCCTCCAAAATTTGCCCCGGACCCCTGCCATCCAACATATTGTCTCTCAGTTGGCATTAAATATCAATGTTTCCATAGCAACGAGTACTGTTGCTACGTCTTACATCCGGGCTTTTATGGCGCCAGAAGAGGGGGCTGGGAAATGAAGAAACGGAAAGAGGTCAGGCTTTGGCGCGCACGCGTTCACGAGTGTGCACACACGCACACACAGGGGCATACACACATACAGACATAGCTTTAAAAAACATCGTGCAAATATGCACATTAGACATACTCAGATTCATTTTCATACACACTCTCTCTCTCTCTGTTATTTTCTCTTTTCTTTCGCCTTCTCTTCTAGTCTTTCTTTTTCCCTATTTTTTCTACTTTTTCTTTTTTATTGTCTCTTTCTTTTCCTTTCTACCATATATCTCTGCATTTTTCTCTTATTTGCATTCCTTTTTCTTCTTTTCTTCCTTATATTTTATCTTCTTCTCACTCTTTTCTTCCTCTTATTTTATCTTCTCACTCTTTCGTTTTTATCCCTTTCTCTCGTATTTTCTTTTTTTCTTTATCATTTCCTATTATTTTCTCTTGTTTTCTCCCTTTCGTTTTCTTTCTCATTCTCTATTCTATTCCTCTTTTTCTTTCCTTTTCTCTTTTTGCTTTTTTTCTCTCACTATTTCTTTCCAATTTTCTAATTCGCCTTCTTTTTTTGCTTATTCTCTTTCTCTTTTCTTTCTCTTTCTCTGTCTTTTCCCCTTTCCCTTTCTCTCATATTCTCTTCTTTTTCCTTTATCATTTCCTATTATTCTTTATTTCTCTGTCTTTTTTCCTCTTTTAATATTTTTCTTCTTTTCTCTCGCTATATCTTTGTTCCCTTTCTTTCACTCTCTTTCTGCTTGTAATCCAGTTTATCTTATTTAAAATTGGATTGGTTGAATTTAATCACGCCCACTCACTACCAAAATTGATTGATTGATTTGTTTTTTAAGGCTTATAAAACTTTTGTCGATTACTTAAAGCCAAAACATATTTTTTGGATTGTAATTCTTTTTTTAAAATTTAATTTTGCATTAACAATCTTTTGAAGAAAATTATAATTTTTCCAAATAATTTTTAATCCGTAGCTAGGGGGAGATATTGATTAATTCCTTTCCAAAGTGAATCTTACTGGAATTCAAACTCTGCTCTGCGAATTGTCAATCCGAGCCGCTATCCATTACATCACACTCACATCGTTATCATCAATCAAGAAAGATCAACAGATACAAATCTATTCTCCTGGTAGAAAAGTACAAACATGAATTAACAATCACCTTGGTTAAAATATCAATTCATATAGTTTCTCGCAGCTTTGACAGGGTAGATGGGGCCTCTATAGCCATGGGTGGCAACTAATTTAGAAGATTAGCTATGAATTAAAATACCGTTGAGGAAGCAAAAGGAAACCAATTTACTATCTTACTATCTCAAGAACTGCTAGCAAATCTTAACAGATAATAAAGAAAAAGAATCTCTGGAGCACCATAATCACCTAAATCCTGAAGCGACAATGCATTAAAATAAATGGATTATTATTATTAATAGCAACAGCAGTAAGAAAGAGAAGATTATGATTATGCTGAATTTATAACGAGATTGCTTTTATTAAGCACTTGAACTGAAGGTGACGAAGATGGTGTTAACGATTACCAACATGGGAAACGAGTTCGGATTTAAGCTAAGACGAGTTTTATCTACTTTCAACCATTAGCTATATTTTCTGTTACATTAGCAAATACCTTAACAAACAAAATTCCTCGTCACTGTTTATTGGTTATCGACTCAGGCAGAAATAATATAAAGTGGTTATTCCATAGTCAACACTTACAAATTGCACTACTTTAGCCTCTTCTCTTCTCAAGTTATATATATATATATATATATATATATATATATATATGTGTGTGTGTGTGTGCGTGCGTGCGTGCGCGCGTACATGTGTCCAAAGTTTATGTTTT